AGTCAGACAACACAAGGCAGCGGTTATTAGAGTAGATCCAGGAGGTTGAGTTCAGCCCAGTGGGGACTCCGTCCAAGTGTGGCATTGGAAGTCCCAGTTTCCAAGGGAATTCTTTTTTTTTTTTTTTTTTTTTTGAGGCAGAGTCTCACTCTGTCGCCAGGCTGGAGTGCAGTGGAGCAATCTCAGCTCACTGCAACCTCCGCCTCCCGGGTTCAAGCAATCCTCCTGCCTCAGCCTCCTGAGTACCAGGGACTACAGGCATGCGCCACCACACCCAGTTAATTTTTGTATTTTTAGTAGAGATGGGGTTTCACTGTATTGGCCAAGCTGGTCTCAAACTCCTGACCTTGTAATCTGCCAGCCTCGGCCTTCCCAGAGTGCTGGGATTACAGGTGTGAGCCACCGCTCCCTGCCTGAGTTTTTGTATTTTTAGTGGAGACAGGGTTTCACTATGTTGGCCAGGCTGGTGTCGAACTGACCTGGTGATCCACCTGCCTTAGTCTCCCAACGTGCTGGGATTACAAGCGTGATACACTGTGCCCATCCAAGGGAATTTTTTTTTTTAATGGAGTCTCACTCTGTTGCCCTGGTTGGAGTGCAGTGGCACAGTCTTGGTTCACTGCAACCGCTGCCGTCCGGGTTCAAGCGATTTTTCTGCCTCAGCCTCCCCAGAAGCTGGGATTACAGGTGCCTGCCACCGTGCCTGGCTAGTTTTTGTAATTTTAGTAGGAACGGGGTTTCACCATCTAGGCCAGGCTGGACTTGAACTCCTGACCTCGTGATCTACCCACCTCAGCCTCCCAAAGTGCTGGGATAACAGGCGTGAGCCACCATGTCAGGCCCCAAGGGAATTCTTTAAGCAAACAAGTGGGGAGAGCTCTTCAGAAGGAGGCAGAGGTGAGACCTGGAGGGTGGCTGAGCAAATATCCCAGACTCCACTAGTTCCCTGCCACCACATGCCCTTAAGTTCTCTTGTAGGCTGAAGATTCTTCCTGCCCAGGCCAGAGGAGGTTTCGTGTTTCTTCCCCTCCTCTCATTCAGCAAGTATCTGTTGAGTGTCTACTGGGTGTCAGCCACAATTCCTGGTGCAGGAGAAACAAAAATAAAATCCCTGCTGTCAGGGAACACAGGGTTTAGTTGGGGGGAGGCCTGGTAGCACTGGCCTAACTTGATCTCTGTCCCCCAGGGTTGCTCCTGGACGCCACCAACAACTTCAGCTATGTTTTCTTCATGTCCAGCTTCTTCCTTATCTCAGCTGCCCTCTTCATGGGTGGCAGCTTCTATGCCCTGCAGAAGAAGGAGCAGGGCAAGCAGGCTGTTGTGGCAGATGCCTTGGAGCAGGATATTTTCTTGGAAGCCAAAGATGGTCCTGGGAAGCAGCGGTCCCCTGTGATCATGTATGTAACCAGCGTCTAAGACCCAGGGGTCACCTGTGTGACCAGTGTCTGAGTCCTGGGGTCACTGAGTGAACACCGTCTCAGCCCAGCCCAGGAGGGGGACCTTCAGCTCCTTCACCAGGGGCTTGCGTGAAGAGCAGCCCAGGAAGCCCGGGCTGTCCAGGCTCTGCAAGCTGGGACTCTGCCAGGAACTGGGACCTTGGAGGATGGCCTCTGAAGACGCCCTGAGAAACTTTTTTTTTTTTTTTTTGAGGCGGAGTTTTGCTCTTGTTGCCCAGGCTGGAGTGCAGTGGCACCATCTCGGCTCACTGCAACCTCTGCCTCCCAAGTTCAAGTGATTCTCTTGCCTCAGCCCCCCAAGTAACTGGGATTATAGGCATGCACCACCACTCCTGGCTAATTTTGTCTTTTAGTAGAGACGGGATTTCTCCATGTTGGTCAGGCTGGTCTCGAACTCCCGACCTCAGGTGATCTGCCCACCTTGGCCTCCTAAAGTGCTGGGATTACAGGCGTGAGCCAGTGTGCCTGGCCAGAGGAACCCTCTTCTAACTAGCAGAATCCAGGAGTGGGCTCTCCCAACTTTTTTCCTTGGGCACCAGGGTACTCAGGGCCCAGGAAGTCAGGTCTGAACCCTGCTCAGGTTTGTCCCGGCCGGCTCAGCGCAGCTGGCTGTGTGTTGCTGCTCCTACAGCTGAACGCACTGGACCTTCTAGTACAGCCTGGATACCTCCATCATTTGTTTATCTTTCTCTGGCCTCCAGACAGTTCTGAAGAGCTCACCTTCCTCCAGGTTCCTCCTGCCCTGCTCTTCCCAAGTGACCCAGCCCTCACCTGTAGGGCAGCCAAGGCTGGTGGTGCAGCTGCCCCCACGAAGGTCACTGGACCTCGCACTGATGGTGAGAGGCAGTGCAGAGGTCCTGACTGAGGAGTTGGCTGGCTGGATAGGGACAGATTAAAGGTTGAGTGGCACGCCCATCCTGGCGCCTGTGTGGAGAACAGGAGGGGGGCCCCTGGCTTGGATCCTAAAGTCTGAGGGCCCCCCTGCAGTCTCAGCAGGACCTGCTCTATCTAGGGGCTTCCTCCTTCCTTTCCCCACCCTGTTTCCTTGGCGGGGAGGATTAGTGCTGGCTGGGGGAAGCCAGACATTTGACTGATGGAGAGGAAGGCTTGCCAGGCAGCCTGAAAACTGCTGTGAAAATGGGGCTGCTTTTGCAAGAGAAGTTCTTTTACTCCCCATTCCTGTCCTCTGGAGGCCCCCCTTCTCCCTGCCGTGTTAGAGGTGTCAACCCTGGGGTAAGTGGCTGGCTGGACTCACCCCTGCTGCCTGTTCGCCTGTGCCTGTGACCTGGAGGTCTGAGCTCCCCCCACACACAGTTTACTGGTGCCTTTCCCTGAAGTCACCACCCAGGGGCTGGCTGTCATCAGCCTATTCTTGTCCCAGCAGGGTTCCGAGGGAATGAGAAAACAGAATGTGTTTGAATTATACACAGAAATGTTCCCTGCAGCAGGTCATAAACTCTGTGAACTAATGAAGCTGAAAAACAGGGCTGGAGTGCGTTTCCCCTCACCCTTCCTTTCCTCCCAGCTCAGCAAGGGTTGCTCAGGTTCAGGGTGATGTTTGTTGATTCAGGCTCAACCAGGCTCTGGCAAGAAAAACCTTATCAGGAGATTTTATTTTCATGAACGGGTGCCAGTCTTCCCGCCTGCCATGTCCAGCTGGCGTCAATAAGCATCTTTGGGGATGTCCTGCCTCCTCCAGGACCAGCCATGAGTGCCTCTTATGGCCAAAGGCAGTACTGCAGGCGAAGCAAAGGGCTCTGGGCTGGAATAGCCCTACCTGAGTGCCTTGGACTCCGCCACTATCTGCCATGTGACTTTGGGCAAATTGTTGACCACCTCTGAGCCTTGAAAAAGTAGCAGGTTACTTTGTTAGAGCGAAATTAAAAAATTTATTTTTAAAAAAGAAAATGTAGGAGGTTTGTCTGGATGAGCTAGTCTCTTCCAGTTGAAAAGTCTGACTCGGTGAGCGTCCGGAAGACCCCACTGCCTTCTGGCTCCCCACCCAGTCTTACTCTTGGCAGCCATCAATAGCACGTGCTCTGAAGGAAGAGTGCTTGCATGTACTTTGACAAATCCTGTCTCCTCCATCTCAGTTGAATGGAAAAGGAGGGAGGTGGGGCTGGTAGATAGGTGCTTTTGGTGCTAGTATCCACCAGGTTTTGTGTGCATCCCATAATGAGCCCACTTCCTGAAAACATTTAAAGAAAAAAGATATCAGCTGGAGGTGGTAGTGCGCACGTGTAATCCCAGCTACTCGGGAGGTTGAGGTGGGAGGATCACTTGAACCTGGGAGTTTGAGGCCAGCCTAGGCAAAACAGCAAGACCCTGTCTCTTAAAAAAAAAAAAAAAAGGCCGGGCATGGTGGCTTATGCCTGTAATCCCAGCACTTTGTGAGGCCAAGGCGGGTGGGTCACTAGAGGTCAGAAGTTCAAGACCAGCTTGGCCAACATGGCAAAACCCCATCTCTACCAAAAATACAAAAATTAGCCAGGCATGGTAGCAGGAGCCTGTAATCCCAGCTACTTGGGAGGCTGAGGCAGGAAAATTGCTTGAACCGGACAGGCAGGGGTTGTGGTGAGCTGGGATCATGCCACTGCACTCCAGCCTGGGTGATGGAATGAGACTCTGTCTCAAAAAAAAAACACAAAACACCTTGGGAGGCCAGAGCAGGAAGATCTCTTGAGACCAGGACTTCAAGACCAGCCTGGGCAACATAGAGACCCCGTCTCTACAAAAAAATTAAGGGAAGAAAAAAAAAAAAGCCAAGTGTGGCAGATCATGCCTGTAGTCCCAACACTTTGGAGGGTCAAGATGGGAGAATCACTTGAGAGGCCACCCTAGGCCACATAAGGAGACTTCCATCTCTACAAAACATTTAAAAATTAGCTGGACATGGTGGCACAGGCCTGTAGTCCAAGCCACTCAGGAGGCAGAGGTGGGAGGATCCCTTGAGCCAGGAAGTTCAAGGTTGCAGTGAGCTGTGATCACACCACTGCACTCCAGCCTGGGTGAGAGACCTTATTTCCCCACCCCCCCTCAAGAAAAAGGTATCAGTGAGTGTTCTGCATAGGAAACTTTGATCTCACCTGCTCCTAGGCAGAATAGCAATCATCTCTGGGCAGAATTCCTTCAATAAATATTTATTATCTACTGTGTGCCAGAGACTGGGCAGAGGTAAAACCTACCAAAGGCTGAGAATTCTACCCCAAGAAGGAGGGCCCCTCCCTGAGGCCTTAAGAAGGGAGAAGACTGGCGGGGCATGGTGGCTCATGCCTATACTCCCAGCACTTTGGGAGGCTGAGGCAGGTGGATCACGAGGTCAAGATATTGAGACCGTCCTGGCCAACATGGTGAAACGCCGTCTCTGCTAAAAATACAAAAATTAGCTGGGCACAGTGGTGCGTGCCGGTAATCCCAGCTACTCGGGAGGCTGAGGCAGGAGAATCACTTGAACCCGGGAGGCAGAGGTTGCAGTGAGCCGAGATTGCCACTGCACTCCAGCCTGGCAACAGAGCGAGACTCCGTCTCAAAAAAAAAAAAAAAAAAAAAAGGGAGAAGACCAATGAAGGAGGATGGGGTGGTCCATCTGATTCTGCAATCCCCACTTAGCTGACTGCCTGTGAACCTCTAGAGGAGGTCTGGGGCAGTTCCCGGGCAGGGAGGATGGAGCTTACTTCCATTCTCCCTATTTCTGGGCTCCTATTTGCTGCTCTGTCCAGCAAGAGGCAGAAAAACTCCTTGGGCACCCTGGGGTGACATGCACTTCCCAGGCTGCGGAGGCTCCCAATAGAAGCCAAAAGGCTTTGGTGAGGGTCCTCGGGCCTAGGCACACAGACTAAGGTCGAAACTCCTGCGTCAGAGGATGTATGTGCATAGGGCAGGGGCTGACCACAAGGACCTGAAACCTCAGAGGTGAGGCCTGCTTCCAATGGGGCTGCAGCTGGCTGGAGCGTGTAGGCCACTCTGCCTTCATCCAGGCCCAGGACTTAAGATATGGTCCTTGCCTTTGTCAACCTAAATAACAGGCTCTCTCAAAGAAAATAGTATCTCTTTGGGCATAGGGCATTGCAAAGGTAGTATCCATGCCATAGTAAACTATATGGGTATTCAGGGAGGTAAAGAAAGAAAGGCTTTAAGGGAAAAAATAGGATTACATAATTGTTTTGAGATAATTATCCTTAGGTAGAAGAATTAGTAACAAGGGTGACCAGTTCAACGTTGGACAGGAAAGTTGCTGGGCAGATGGCCATTCAAAAGTATGTTTTGTGCAAGGTTGGGGTTTTTGCAGAATCTTTGTGATAGTTTTCATTATCAGATATTTATGCATGAGAACCCTCTTGTCATGGTTTTCTCGGGCTCTGTCCGGGTTTTTTTGTTGTTTTTTTAACACAAGTGACTCCAATTAGATTAACAACTTTTGCACTCTCAGGACACTCAAAGCCTAAGCCACCTCTACCCCTACGTTGTCAAACGCGATGGGAGTGTAGTAAGGCCACCTCCTTCTCTGGTGCTTTGTTCCCTGCAACCACGAGTAGTAATCCATCACACACCTGCTTCCCGAGAATCCTCGAGAAGGAATGAGAAGGAATCGGCCGAAGGGCTTCAGCATCCAGAAAGCCCCGAAAGCGCCACAAACAAGGCTCTTCCTCGGGCTCCCCGGTGCTGCCCCGGGCGCGCGCCATCCACCCGGCTGACAAAAAGCACCAGGACATGACCCAGTCCCATTTGATTTCTGTCCAGAGGTGGCGGACTCACCTCGGGGCTGGGATAGAGGACGGGTCGGGGTCGCTACGCTTTTTGCAGAAGGGTCAAAAGACTGATGAGGGTGGTAAGGAGCTGACGCCCGCGCTCTAACGGGGCGTCCTGGTCAAGGAGGCTGGGCCGCGCCCCGTCAGCCATGGGGATCCTGGAAGTGCTTCTGCCTCGACGTCCACCCAACAGGGTGCTGCCAGACTCCGCTGCGCTCCTGAGTTGCTCCTCACGGAATTCCAGCCGCCCGACATGGGTGTCTCACTTTCGGGTTCTGGGCCACGTCGGGGCGGCGGAGGACCCGGGGGGCCGGGCGGGAGAGTGGGAAAGGTGGGGCGGGAAAGCCGAGAGAGGCCCTCACCCGCCTTCCTGTTGGCGGGGGCGGCAAGTGGGTTTTTCTTGCGTTCAGATTTTGCAATAATTTGCAGCTGGACATGGGATATGGGAGACAAGGCTGCTCCTCGCAGTACACCCACCCACGCCCACACCTCCCTCGGCGAAGCGTGTCGCAGCGGGTTCCAGCGCAGGGTAAAGAGCTTCCACGACCAGAAAACCGAAAGCGCGCCGCGCACGCGCGCCAAGGAGTTCGGCGACTGCCCCGCCCCTTCCGCGCCTTTGGGGGTGGGGACAGTGCGGCTTCCGCTGGGAGCCTGGAACCGAGCCCGGCAGCCGGGGGCTGGGCGCCAGTGCCCACTCCGCTAGCCCCAACCCGCAGACGGTTCCCTGTCTCCCGCGCCCCAATTTCGATTTTCAGACCCAACTCCTACAGGATTCTGAGACCCCGGCCCATCTCCCCACATCCCATTTCCAGCTGCAAATTACTGCAGAGTCTGAACCCAAGAAAGAAACCCGTTTGCCGTCCCCGCGTCTTCCCTCGCCAGACAGGTGGAGGGTGGGTGAGGGTCTCGCTCGGCTTTCCCCCTGCACCTTTCCTACCCTCCCGCCCGTCCCTGGGGTCCTCCGTCACGCCGGCCATGGCCCAGAAGCCGAAGGTGGACCCCCACGTCGGGCGTTTGGGATACCTGCAGGCGCTGGTCACGGAATTCCAGGAGACCCAGAGCCAAGGTGAGAGCCACGGTGGGACCAGGTGGCAGGGTCGACTGTGACCGCCGCCCGGACCTGGCTCCAGTGCGGCTTTCCCGTTGCAGACGCCAAGGAGCAAGTCCTCGCCAACCTCGCCAACTTCGCTTATGACCCCAGCAACTACGAGTATCTGCGGCAGCTGCAGGTCCTGGATTTATTTCTCGATTCGCTGTCGGAGGAGAACGAGACCCTGGTGGAGTTTGCTATTGGTAAGGGCTGGGCCCGTTCGCTAGATACCTAAATGGGCCAGGGTGAGATAAGTGAGTTAGAAGTGAGTCCTTGGGGCCGGGCGTGGTGGCTCACACATGTAATCCCAGCACTTTGGGAAGCCGAGGCGGAGGGGGATCACCTGAGGTCAGGAGTTCGAGACCAGCCTAGCCAACATGGCAAAACCTCGTCTCTACTAAAAGTACAAAAATTAGCTGGGCGTGGTGGCGAGTGCCTGTAATCCCAGCTAAGCGGGAGCAAAAATTAGCCGCACACAGTGGTGTGCACCTGTAGGCCCAGCTACTCTGGAGGCCAAAGCAGGAGGATTGCTTGAGTCCGGGAGGCAGAGGCCGAAGTGAGCTGAGACTGCGCCACTGCACTCCAGCCTGGGCGACGGAGTGAGACCATGTCTCAAAAAAAGATGTTTTAAAAAGAGCAGTTTTGTAGCCAGGCGCGGTGGCACACGCCTGTAATCCCAGCACTTTGGGAGCCCGAGGCAGGCGGATCACCTGAGATCAGGAGTTCAAGACCAGTCTGGCCAACATGATGAAACCCCGTCTCTAACTAAAAATACAAAAATTAGCTGGGCGTGGCGGGTGCCTGTAATCCCAGCTACTCGGGAGGCTGAGGCAGGAGAATCACTTGAACCCGGTAGGCGGAGGTTGCTGTGAGCCGAGATGGCGCCACTGCACCCCAGCCTGGGCAACAGCGAGACTGTCTCAAAAAAAAAAAAAAAAAAAAAAAAAAAACCAATTTCAGGTGGGTGAGGTGGCTCACACCTGTAATGTCAGCACTTTGGGCGGCCAAAGCAGGCAGATCACTTGAGTCCCAGAGTTCAAGACCAGCCTGGCAAAACCCCATCTCTGCTTAAAAAAAAAAAAAAAAAAAAAATTAGTCTGGCGTGGTGTCCCAGCTACTCAGGAGGCTGAGGTGGGAGGATTGCTTGAGCCTGGGAGGACGAGGCTGCAGTGAGCTAGGATTGGGCCAGTGTACTCCAGCCTGGGTGATAGAACGAGAATCTGTCTTAGAAACAAAAGTAACTCATATTTAGTGTTTTCATATCAGGAGAAGCAGAGATGGCTTGCAGTCTGTAACTTATGGCTTCTTTTGTAGTTATGATCTTAAGACCTATTGATTTATTCACTGGGCAGATACTGGGCATGTACCGTATATGCAAACTACTGCTCTAAATGCTGGAGTATGGTGAACAAGTTAGGGAAAGTGTTTGCCCCTCAGGAGCTTACATTCTAGTAGGGGGGACAGGTGGTTAGCAAACAAAAAAGATGATGCTCGGCAGGAAATAAATGCGGTGATGAGAGACAGCAGTAGAAGGTGGGGGTTACATCCGTTTTGGCCATCATGAGAAAGGCATTTTAGCAGGGACACAGCATGGGCAAAGGCCTTAAAACAGGAAGGAGCCAGAAGGAAGACGAATGTGGCAGGATCATTGTAGTGAAGTGAAGAATGGCACAAAAAGAGTTTAGAGAGTTAAGCGGCACCAGAGCTTGCAGGAGCTTAGATCTAGGCCGTGGGAAATAGTTTGAAGCAAACAAAATTTTGAGAACAAACAAAAATTCCTTTTTCAAGCCATGCACAGTGCTCATCTGTAGCCCCAGATACTCAGGAGGATCGCTTGAGCCCAGGGGTTTGAGGCTGTAGTGTGCTACGATTGCATGATTGCACCTGTAAATAGCCACTGCACTCCCACCTGGGCAACACGCACGTAATCACCTGGCTGAAGTCTTGTCAGGCTTCTCCACTGTAAAATTACTCTTTCTTTCCCCTCTTTATGTATTATGTATTATACCCATTGGAAGGAAGTCACTACATAAATTATCTTAAATCTTTTTCTTTTTTTTTGAGATAGGGTCTCACTGTGTCACTTAGGCTGGAGTGCAGTGGTGTGATCATAGCTCACCATAAATTTAAACTTCTGGGCTCAAGCAGTCTTCCTGCCTTAGCCTCCCGAGTAGCTGTGACTACAGGTGGACACCACCATACCCGGCCTTTTTTTTTTTTTTTTTTTTAATTTGTTTTCAAGAGGATCTGAGTGTGTTGCCCAGACTGGTCTCGAACTCGGCTTTTTTTTTTTTTTTTTTTTTTAATTTGTTGTCGACACAGGATCTCACCGTGTTGCCCAGACTGGTCTCGAACTCCTGGCCCCAAGAGATAAATCTCTTGTAACCCTAAACAGACCCTCATTTCATAACACTGATTCTTGAAGGCCCCAACCAGGAATGCAAATGTTCCCCCTTCCGGTTTGTCTCATTGCCTCTTTGTGGTTTGTTTCTTTATCCCCTTTATTTTCTATAATCTAGAAATTGGGTTGAAGGTCTTGATAGGATCAAGTAACACATTTTATTTTATTTTATTTTATTTTTATTTTTTTAAATTTTATTTATTTTATTTTATTTTTATTTTATTTAATTTTTTTATTTTATTTTTTATTTATTTTATTTTATTTTATTTATTTTTATTTTATTTTTTATTATTTTATTTTATTTTAATTTTATATTATATTATATTATATTATATTTTTTGAGATGGAGTCTTGCTCTGTCACCCAGGCTGGAATGTGGTGGTGCGATCTCAGCTCACTGCAACCTCTGCCTCCTGGGTTCAAGCAATTCTCCTGCTTCAACCTCCCGAGCAGGTGGGATTACAGGCGCCCACCACCATGCCTGGCTAATTTTTGTGTTTTTAGTAGAGATGGGGTTTCATCATGTTGGCCAGGCTGGCCTCAAACTCCTGACCTCAGGTGATCTGCCCGCCTCAGCCTCCCAAAGTGCTGGGGTTACAGTCGTGAGCCACCACGCCTGGCCCGAGTAACACATTTTTAAAAATACATTATTATAAGTGTGATTCAAATTTTTCAAAGACCGCCCAGGTCTCCTCTAAAGAGGAGAGGAGAGGAGGTTCCTGGGACTAGACTACAAATGAGGGTCTTCTCTCCATGAGGGGGCTCCAGCACATGTGTGAGCAGATTCACACCCCCACAGACAGCTGCCCCTTGGCCACTCCCTGGGTTTGGAAGTGCGCACACCAACGGTGGCATTCACCCCTGGGAGTCAGGATCCAGGAAAGAGGCCCATGCGGCCTCGGGAGCAGGTTTAGGGCCTGGAGCTCCAGGTACAGGGGAAGGGCGGCCCTGGGCTTTGGGTGAGTTCCCTGGACTTACTGCCCTGCAGAGGACCAGAGTGGGGCCTGCTAAAGCCAAGCCAGCGCAGGAGCCCTAGTTGCCCAGGTCCCCGAGTGATGCCAGCTCCTCTAGAAGATTATTATGCCAAACAAATATTCTAAAAAGTTGGTCTCTAAAATGTCCTCCATCCCCTCTCTTTTCATGCCTCTGCCCACACACAGCTGCTGCTTTTTGAATGGTGACTGTGGCCCCTACAGATGCATGTGGCTAAACCTCCACCAGGGGGCGATAGAGCTCCTCCAAATCAAGCCGCTGACCCAGGAGAAAAATTGGCGGAAGTCACAGAGCAGTCCCCACAAAAAATGTTTACCAAGTGGAGTCTTTCCTGCTGGCGTTTCCTCAGGGTCAGGAAGCAACTTTCCCAGGACAGGGGTACCCTGAGGTCCGGGTCCACTGAGCTATGGGGGCGGCGTGGGCCTGGCCTGGGTTCTTGCCACCCTGGGCAGCTTCCCCGCGTGGGTGACTGAGCCCCAGCGTCTCCACTTCTCAGCTGATTCCTAGCTGACTCCTGTCCCTTCTCCGAGCGTGGTTTCCTCACCTGCCTTGCCTGCCTCGCAGGTGGTTGTGGGAGCAGAAGTGTGGGTGTGTGTGTCTGTGCATCTGCGTCTCTGTGCAGTTACTTTATCTAGAATTGTTGGGGTCATTATCACCAGTTTTACTTTTCCCAACCGTTTTTTCCTCCTTTTTTTCTCTTCTTCTGCCAGAGCAAGCCTCGCCCCGCCCCAAGCACAGTAGCTTTCTCAGCATGGAATCCCTCCGTGGGACCCTCTGCAGATGAAATTTCTCGTATATTTATTATGCGTAACTGAGAAGGAGAGCCCCCACGTATTTTCTTACTGGCGGCGTTTCCCTTTCTCTTAGTGTCTCTGCTTGGGGATCCCCGACAGGCACTTATTCTGCTGTTTCCGGAGAAGGCTCCTGCTGCGCTTTGGGCTTTGAGTCTTTTATCCCCTTTGGCAGCCCTGAGATTGTGACCTCCCTGAGCCTGAGCCAGCCTTGCTTCTGTCTGCATGGCTTGAGTGCTTAGGCCTTTTGGCCTAGGGAGGAGGAGAGAAGGGGAAGGAAAAGCAAGGGATCTTCATTTAATAAGTGTGGAGTCCTGGCCATGACTTGGTGCAGCACCCCTGAGCAGGGTTGGTTCAGGAGGCTCACACCTGTAATCCCAGCACTTTGGGAGGCCCAGGCAGGTGGACCACTTAAGGTCAGTTCGAGACCAGCCTGGCCAACATGGCAAAACCCCGTCTCTACTAAAAATACAAAAATTAACTGGGCATGGTGGTGCGCACCTGTAGTCCCAGCTACTTGGAAGCTGAGGCAGTAGAGTCACTTGAACCAGGAGACAGAGATTTCAGTGAGCCAAGATCACGCCACTGCACTCCAGCCTGGGTGACAGAGTGAGACTGTCTCTTAAAAAAAAAAAAATACAAAAAAAACTAGCCGGGCGAGGTGGCGGGCGCCTGTAGTCCCAGCTACTTGGGAGGCTGAGACAGGAGAATGGCGTAAACCCGGGAGGCGGAGCTTGCAGTGAGCCGAGATGGCACCACTGCACTCCAGCCTGGGCGACAGTGCGAGACTCCATCTCAAAAAAAAAAAAAAAAAAAAAACCCGTATCTGCTTGGTTGAGCAGGGTGGTTCATACCTATAATCCCAGCATTCCGGGAGGCTGAAGCAAGAGGATCGCTTGAGTCCCCAGGAGTTCGAGAGGAGCCTGGGCAACATAGCAAAACCCTGTCCCTACAAAAACAAACAAAACAAATGTCTGCTTGTTGGCAAACAGCACAGTGAGTTGGACGAGAGCTGGGC